ATCGGAGAGCCCAGTCATAGCACATTCATGTTAGCATGCACAGTTCTCCTGGATGGCTCCTCACTGAGGGAGGCGTGCATCCGGAGATGGAAGGTAGTTGGGATAGGATAGGTGTGAAGCAAGGATGTTCATTGTTCCCTCACCGACGGCCACTGCAGAAAGAGATCTAGTCTATTGAGAAAAAAATTGAGTTCATGGCAAAAGAGCCTAGAAAGACATCTTGGTCATAGTCAAGGATGTTCTTGGCTTTTATAAAAAATAATGAATATTGACTTTATTACTATTAGTGGATCAATAAACAAAAGTATAAATGTAGAAAAAGATTGTTTACCCTGGGTCAATGATGAGTGTGTCTGGATCATTCTGAAATTAAGCATTTTGATTAAACCCTGCACTCTGGGGTCCATCACCAGAACATTCCTCTTTGTTATCTGAATGGCACATGAGATTACGCTAGGAGTTATGGATATGAAGGAGTTTGTTGTTGGGTTTCTGAGTATTGTATTTTCACTAAATCAATGAATGAATCATTGAAGAAACATATAAATGAATTAAAGAGAAAATGGATTATTCCTGATTCAAATATGAGAATATGGAGTGTAATATATATAATATAAAATCATTGTTAATACATTTCTGAAGCACTGTTGCAGTAAAATAAATAAATTTATTAGAGCTGACCCTTTTGGGTAAAGAGCATTTAGATAAATGGATATAAGAGCCGATGTTATTTTTCTGGGCTGAGTTATTGGTTTTTTGTTTTATAGAAAAGGGCAAAACATCAACTTAAACTAATCATTGATTAAATCACTGCATAATTGAGAGGACTTAGACACAGACTATGTTGAATGTGTCACATGACCAGTTAGGATTAATTCAATGATCTTCACTATTTTTTTAATTTAAAAAGAATAGAAAAGATTATTTGGTCTTTTCTTTTTGTGCCCAATGAATATATGGACAGGCATTAATATTATCCTGTTTCTCTATTAATGATATTATTATGTGTAAAAGAATAAGTTAACATTATTCTTTTGTCTGATGTTGGTTTCAAAGGTGTTCATTATATAAGTTAAATTTAATATTTGAAGCAATTGATCAATAAGCCATTCAGAGTTTTAATATATAACAAACACTAAGGTTTATTCTTAGTCAAATATTGTTGACTTAGATCAATTTAAAAAATCTGACTCTACGCTGATCTATCTGCCTATCTAATCTAATCTATTTTTATATTTGCTTTGCATTTACAGAATGAATGCACAAATGATTCAATTAAGGGAATGTAGAAACGTTAGTTACACTCAAAGGAATCACTTCTGACTTGGTGGTTTGTCATGGGTCTTAACTCTTAAAAAATATATATATTTATTGATTTTAGAGAGGAAAGGAGAGAAAGAGAGTGAGAGAGATAGAAGCATCAGTGATAAGAGAGAATCATTGATTGGCTGCCTCCTTCACACCCCCTACTGGGGATTGAGCTTGCAACCCAGGCATGTGCCCTTGACTGGAATCAAACCCAGGACCCTTGACTCTCTATCCAGTGGTCAAACCAGCTAGGGCATAGGGTCTTAACTCTTATTGAAAGGAAATAAATAGTTACATATACAAATAAAATGAGTGAAGGTTATGTGTGGGCCAATTTAGCACATCTGAGGTCAACTAAGGAGAAAAAAATAAGACCATTTATTCATTTTAAGAGTTAATTATTCAATTAATTAATGTAAAATGTATTATTCAATTTTAATTCTGAGTCACAGTTCATTTTAACCTCCCTTTACAGAGACACAATTTAGTCAGCTTCAATTGCAAACGGGGTTAAAGTTTACATTCATTTATATAGCAAGCATTGGAGTCAATTAATGAAAGATATATATATATATATATTTCTCTACAGAATTACTTCCTACTGACAATATAGGATTTATATAAGTATATCTATACTGTTAGTGGGAAGTAATTCTGTAGAGAAATACTGGAAATATTCAAGGATCTAGTTTCAAGTTTTATGGCCTGTAGGCATTTATTTTATTATTATTAGTGGATGAATTAATTAGTAAAAACATGTAGACACAATTGAAAATAATGAGGGCCAATCCGGACCAATGGTGATGACTGGTGGAGTATGAGTTATGGATGATGAATACTGTGTGCCTGTTTATTTCACACAGTATATAATCTACTCTGTACCTTCTGTTGAAATATTCCTATGGACAGATGTTAGGAATATTCAAGGATTTTGTGCTTAGTTTTGTGTTCATGATATTTAATTTTATTAATATAAATGGAAAGAATTAATATAAATATATGAATAAATAGGGTGAAGCATTGTCCAATTATGTAAATATATGGTGAGGCCAGAAATACTATTACTATATATTAAAAACACTGAAGTTCATTAAGAAATAAATGTCTTAAAGGCATTACCTCTTTATCTAAGGAATGATACCTACTCTACAAATAACAGTCCATGCTCTTATTTGTTCTGTGCCTTCTTCAACATTGTTTTCTCAAAAAAAATATCATAATTTAATACAGACTTAAATGTCTAATAAAATGATAGGAGGAATTCAGGATAAATGAAGAGAATATTTCCATATTTTAATCATTTGTTCTGCTTTGTACTCTCAGAATGATCGTTCCCTGCAGATGTCATCATCTTTCATGGTCAGAAGCTCTCTAGTTCCCTCCATGTGTTAGCAGCATGGAGAATCATGTGAGTACAGTCAAAGACTTTGTCTTGATTTGGGTAGTTCTTAAAGGGTATTTCCTGTACTGTTAAAAGAATTTAAGAAGGCCAACCATGGCCCAATGATAAATATGACATTCTCATATGCCCATAGTAACATATGCCAGATGAACATTGTGCTGATTAATCAATATTTGCAAAATATTGATTAATAAAAGATGTAATCAAGCTGATAAATGATCACATGGCTATAAAACTTAAAAATCTTGTTAAGTTTTTGTGATTTATCTATTTATTTACTAGTGAAGTGATAAATTAATTAATAAAGAAAATTAAAAATTAATGGAGAAGAAGAGGGCCAATTTTGGACCAATGATGACGACTGGTGGGGTATGAGTCATGGATGATGAATACTGTATGTCGGGACTCTGAGGTCCAACACAATAAGAAATCTAGTCTATTTCCTCTGTTGGAAATGACCATAGTGATAGATTTTAGTAACATGCAAAGATTATGTTCTTCACTTTTTGTGTTCATGGATAATGATTCTATGAGCATAGATTAGTGAAACAACTAAAAAACACATACAAGTAAATTAATAGAAATGTGTGAAGCATTGTAAGTTATGAAAATGAGTAAATATTTAAGTTGCTGAGTAAATTAAATGCAGAAAGCAAAGTTAGTGCAGAGAAAGTCTCAACTTTTCATCTCCCTCTGTGCTTTGCACTTCTCAGAATGGATGCACTGGGCCTGAACTGCAGATTCTCCCATGGTCTCAAGATGTCTGGTGTCTGTGTTTGGTGCATAGAAACAAATGTGAGTTTTGTGAACATATACTCTGTATTTGAAAAGTGTGAATTTTAACCAAAGAAAGCCAACCATGGTCCATTATTAATATGGAATTGATATGTAACATTATAGTGATTGATCCCTATATGAAGCTTTGAGGATGATTAATGAAAGACATATTGATGTCATAAATGATCCTATAGACAGATATAGGACTAGTACAGGCTCATGCTCTTAAGTTTTGTTGTGCTTCATATTTTTTTATTTTATTACGATCAGATAAATTGATGAATTAATGAATAAACATAAATGAGAGTGGATAAAAAAGGCTAACCCTGGACCAATGATGACTACTGGTGGCGTATGAGTCATTGATGGTGAATACTCTTTAACTCTGAGGTCCAACATACCTTTAGCTGAGGAAGTTAAAGATGATAGAAATAATGAGCAATATTGAGGTTAGTGGAAAGTTTAATAAAATTACCCCAAAATAATTTATAACTTAATCACCAAATAATTTAATGTAAATGCAAAGACCAATAGAGAAAATATCTCAATCGTGTTATCTATTCTGCTTTCTACTTTTTAGATGGACACACCCAAGCTGAATAAAGCATTATGCCTTGGTCAGTGATCTTTCTATTGGCCTGTAGGAGCATGAAGACCAACGTGAGTCATTTTCAATGTCTTCATCTTACTTTGGGTGGTTTGTTTGGGGTATTCTCTGTGTATATATTTTAAAATATTCAATATAAGAAAAAATACCAACTATGTTCCGATAATTAAGTTGGAAATATATGAAATATTATGTTGACTAATCTATCTTTTAAATTATGAAGATGATTAATAAAATTCAATTAGCCAATGATTCTTAAAAAAATGATAAAGATTTTTAGGCTCTTGTTCTTGATCTTTTGTGATTCATTGATATGTATTTAATTATTATTAGTCGATTGATGAATTAATGTATAAACATATAGATATAGATGAGAATGAAGAAAAGGGGGCCCAAAACTGGACCAGTGATGATGACTAGTGGCATATGAAGGAGGTACTATGATTGCTATGTGTCTGCAAGTCTGAGGTCTAAAACAAAAGACAATCTAATCTATTTCCTCTCTGGCAATTGTTCCTATTGGTCTTGTAATTTTGGATTAATATATTTCTAGTATATTACTATTAATATCAATGAATCAATGATAAAAAACAATAAACAAATATATCACTAAGGAAACAAGGCTTCACTAAGTTGGTCTTATCAACTATGAATATATATGGTGAGGCAAGAAATATTAATATAAACTGAAAAACCTGATAAGAAATGAATGGACAAAAGGCATTATTTATCTAAGGGTCATATCATTAATTTATATTTATGTTTATATATGTGTATAAATTATACACATATAATAAATATATGTGTATATGCCTTTATGACTGAGTAAATGAAATAAGGGGGGAAAGGGTCAATTTAGAGGAGGTCTCAATTTTTTCACCTTCTGCTCTATTCTGTATTCCTTAGAATGGACGCATTTGAGCAGATTGAAGCATCATCCGTGGTCACGTGCTCTATGGTTGCCTGTTTGTGTAGTGAGTAGAGACCGACCAATGTGAGTAATACATTGAAACAGTTCATGTCTTTGAGTTTTTTTTCTCTCAAATATTCATGTGTCATCAAGAATGTGAAATATAGTCCAAGATGCCAACTATCGTGAATTATAAATATGGGATTGGGTCTGAAGATTATCTTTATTAATCATACATGAAACATTGATGATAATTAAAGAGATATATCAATATGGCAAATGGCCCTATATGTGGGACATTTATTACTCTTATTCTTGTTTTTTATGAATCATATAGTTTTAAAATTTAATATTAGTGAATCAATGAATTAATAAATGAACTTATGCAGATAAGAATGATGAAAAAGATGAATATTTATTGAAAATACTGAAGTTCATTAAGTTGTCATCTTAGACTGCATTATTTGTTTAAATATATTTATTGAATTATTAAAAAATATTAAACATAATAAAAAATTAACTATGGACAAATGATAAGAAACATTATATTATTAATCAATAATGTACAGCGTTGAAGTTGATTAATGAAAAAGAATTAGCCTCTGTGGGAAATGATTCTATAGACAAATGTGAGAGATATTAAAAAATTTTGTCCTTGGATATTGTGAGTCATGTGTTCATTTAATTATTATTAATGAATTAATGATTTATTTGATACAAATGTAGAAATGAATGGATTTTTATTATTTTATAAATGGATCAATTTCAGAATCAATGTACAAATTTTAAAAATCAGAGAGGAATAACATGCACTGTTTAAAAAAATTTTTTTAAATTGATTTCAGAGAGGAAGGGAGAGAAAGATAGAAACATCAATGATGAGAGAGAAAAATTAATTGGCTGCCTCCTGCACACCCCACACTGGGGACCAAGCCCACAACCAGAGCATGTGCCCCTATCGGGAATCAAACCTCGGCCTCCTGATTCAGAGGTTGACGCTCAACCACATCATACACTTGTAATCTGTGGTGAAGGAATAAAAAATATTCCAGTTTATTGAAAATACTGTATTCCGTTACCAAAAATAAATCGTTCCAGTACCTTCCATCTTCGATCTTATTCTGGTCACTAAAAGTATGATATTAAGTATTAGCCCACATTACTGCCTTCTACATGATTGACTAAATGTAAGGCGCGGTAATGTTTCCATCTTGTTATCGTCTCTTTTGCTTTTCGCTTCTCAGAACGAAACCGCCTGAAGGGGGATTCAGCATCTGTTGTGTTCAGAGGCTCCATGGAGGGGCATGAAGGCCAGTGTGAGTAATAATCCAAGGTCTTGTCTTGGTCAGGGAAGTTTGTTTAGGATATCACTGTAGTAATTTAAAAAGTGGAAAAAAGACCAACCATGGTCCAATGATTAAACTGGAAATGTACGAAACATTATGTTGACTACCTTACCTTCGGAATAATGGGGACGATTAATGAAAAGAGGTATAATCAATAAGCCATTGGTCCTAAAGGCGTGTGACAACCATCTTTAGGCTCTTGTCCTTGCATTTTTGTGATTCACACGTATGTGTTTAATTATTAGGAGTAGATTGAACAATTAACAACTGTGGGTGAGAATGAGGAAAAAGAGGCCCCAAACTGGACCAATGATGATCACTGATGCCATATGAAGGAGGTGCTATGATTGCTATGTGTCTGGAAGTCTGAGGTCCAAAACCAAACAAAATCTAGTCTGTTTCCTCTCTCGTTAGGAATATGCAAGGAAATTATTGTTGTCATGTTGGATTCATGGATTTCTAGTATATTACTATCAATATCAATGAACCAATGATAGAACCAATAAACAGATATATCACTAAATAAAACAAGGATGAAGACTTATCAAGTATATATATGGTGATGCAAGAAATACAATTAACATAAAATGAAAAACTGATGTTAAGAAAGAAATGGACCAGGTGCATTACCTCTTTTCTAAGGATTATATGAACACTGACACTGAGAATTAATATACAGTTTTATTAGCCTGTGTCAGTCTTGATTTGAGGATGTTAATTTTTAATCTGTACATTTATATTTTATATGTATATGTTCTGAAGAATAAATACCTAAATAACTGATAAAATGAAATGAGAAAGAAATCGACTAATGGAGAAAAGGTTTCAATTTTTAATTATCTGCTCTGTCTTGTACTCCTCAGAATCAACATGCTCAAGCTGATTTAAGTGTTTTCCATGGTAACAAGATCTATGGTCTCCTCTGTGTAAAGCATTGAGATGAAATGTGAGTAAAGGTTACAGTTCTTGTGTTTGTTTAAGAATTTTTTAAAAGGGTATTCATTGTATTGCTAAAAGTGTGAAATATAAGCCCCACACCAACCATAGGAAATGATAAATATGAGATATTATGAGGCATTATATTTACTAATACATATTTGAAATATTGATGATAACTAATGAGAGAGATAGAACAATGAGCATGAAGACAAACAGGCCACAGCATGGACCAATGATGATTGTTGCTGGAGTAAGAGTCACGGAGATGATGAATACAATGTGTCTGAAACTCTGAGGTCCAATAAAGAGAGAGACATAGTCTAGTGCCTTTGTTTGAAGTGATCCTATAGACAGATATTAGGGAATTAAAAAGGACCATTTCCTTGGTTCATTTTCATGAATTTTGATTCTATCTTAATAAATGGTTCAAAAAGAACCAATGAACAAGAATAAATAAGATGAAGAGGATGAGACAATAAACATTTCTAATGCTTAATTGAAAATACTGTTATTCATTAAGAAACGTAAATGGTTCAGTTGTCTTCCCTCTTTGGTTAAGAATGATACAGACAGTAAATAATAGTCAAAGTTTTTTAATTCATGGTCTGTGTCAAGTTTGATATTGTGTGGTTTGTTCATGAGTCCATATTATATTCTTGAGTGACTGGCTAAGCGGAAGGTGACTGTGTGCCTCAGTAGACCGTCTCTCAATTTCGTTACAATCTTCTCTGCTTGTATTCCTCAGCATGGACACGCTGTAGCTGACCGAGCCCTTGGCCATCATCAGGCGCTCCACTGGTCGGCCCTCTGTAGAGGTGCATGTAAGTCACAGCCAAATCCTTCTCTTGGTTCAGATAAAGTATTCACTGTAATGCTAAAAAAATAGTATTAAATATGTTCAAAGAAGACTAGTCATACTCACATAATAAGTATGGAATTGACATGAAACTTGATGTCAATTAATGGGTATTTGTATCAATGAAGCTGATTAATCTCATAGGCATATTCATTGAGGCAAATGCTTCTATAGATAAATATTAGAGATATTAAGCATCTTGTCCTTGAGTATTTATTATTCACAGATACTTTTTTTTATTATTAATGAATTGACAAATTGATTAGTAAACAGGTATAGATGAGAATGAAGAAAAGAATTCCAGCCTGTCACAGTGATGACGACTGGTGACCTAGGACTCAAACATGTACAGTAAAAAAGAATGTGTTTGGAACTCTGAGGTCCAACACAGAGAAACCTAGGCCCTTCTTTCTGTTAGAAGTGATTGTCTAGACAGATGTCAGGAATTTACAGAGCTCTTGTTCTTGGTTTTGTGTTCGTAAATTTTACAAAATATTATTATAAAAGAATAAATGACAAAATACATATGGATGAAGAGGGTGAAGTATTGTTCATTGTTAAAATGCATAGAAGAAAAATAATACTGATGTCTATTGCAATCAATATTAAATGGATCAAGTGTATTACATCTTTGATTAAGAATGAGATATATAATGATAAGTAATAGTTACTGCTCTGAGTCAGTTACAATTCTGATGTTTAATTTATTAAGAGAAGAACAAATATATCTGATCATTAATCAACGAATAATGAAACGTCGGAGTCAGGGAGCGATGGAGATTAGGTCTCATCTTCCTGCGCCGTTTTGTGCTCTGCACTCCTGAGAGTGGGTGCTCTGGCGCTGACTCCAGCATCTTCGCTTATCACGAGCTCTCTGGTTGCCTCTATTTGTAAGTAAGTTCTTGTCTCAGTTCCAACATTTTTTTTAATGGCTATTCACTGTATCATTAAAAAGTGTGAAATATAATCAAAGAAAGCCAACTCTAGCCCAGTGACAAATGTGAGATTTCTTTTATTCATTGATATAACATTGATGATGTCGATGAATATATATACAAAGAATATTCATTCTTCAATGAGAGATTTATGTAAGAATGATTTGATACAAAGATTAGGGATATTAAGGCTTTTCTTGAGTTTTTATGAATAATAGGATCTTAAAATTATATTGATAAATGAATAAATTACTCTGTAGAAATTATAGAAAATATTAGAGAAAAAGAGGGACAGTGACATCGTGGATCAACGATGACTCCTGGTGGTGTGTGAGTTACATACGCTGAACACGTATCTGACTTCCAACACAAACGCATACTAGTCCATTGCCCTGTATGAAGGGATCCCCTACAATTCAGGAATCTATGAGCATCTTGTTTTTTATTTACATTCATGTATTGTCATTCTATTTATAACTGGATCAATGAAATAATCAATAAAAACATATAGGTAAAGATGAAGATCATGAGAATTGCCCAAATATAAAGATATGTAGTTAGATAGGAAATACTATGCATCTATATAGAAAAAACTCCTGCACATTAGGAAATAATGGTCGGCAGGTGTTACCTCTTTGGCTAAAGATTCTATAGTTAGCATTTCATAGTAATAGACAATGTTCTTATTCTGTGTCTGTGGCAAGGTCACCGTTATTTGGTCACTTGGGAGAATTTAGACATTTTTCCATATTGCTAGTTATCCTAAATGACTAATAAAAAGTTAAATGCAAGGATCAGTAGATAAGACATCTCAATCTTTTTAAACCACCTACTGTGCTCTGTACTCCAGAACGGACCCGCCCTAACTGATTTCAAGATTCTTCTGTGGTGATGGTCTTGACCATGGATCTCTGTGTCAGTGAGTAATATTCACGTTCTTGTCTCAATTTGGGTGGTTTAAGGGTATTCACTCTATTACTAAGAAGTGTGAAATATAATCAGTGCATGCCAATCAAAATGCAATTACTTTGAAGCACTGTGTTTATTAATTTATATACAAATCATTGAGGTTATTTAACAAAAGAGATGAGTTGCTGAGGGAAATAATTCTATAGACAGATGGAAGAGATTAGTTCATGCCAATCATGGATTAATAATAAAGAGGTTACACTGAAGAAAGTACATTGACTAATCCATATATTCAACACTGAGATTCATTAGCAGAACAGACCTAGACTATTTGCTCTTTAGAAAATGATTTTGTATCATATGTTTAGGGATATTAAAGCTACTTTAAAAATTAATTTGTTATATATTTATTATTAATGAATTAATGATTTCTCTCTTCACAAAATGACACTAAATGAAGAACAAGAGGGTGACTGAGTCAATACTGTGCCCTGGCGGCAGGTGAGTCAAGGGCAAATACTGCTTACCTAGAACTCCGAGGTCCAGTGCAAAACAGATTTGATTTCTTATTAAAAGTTCATGCAATAATAACTACACAAATGTATGAACAAATGAAGGATAAATGGGTCAAATGTGGAAGGAAGATGGCATAAGTAATGAAACAAACATCATCCCCAATCCATTTCAAAGAACTGAAGTCCATTAACAATATGGAGAGGCTTTTGTACCTAAGCATAAGGGACATGTATTTGCCAATGTTCATGTTCTGGGCTGTAACTATGCAGCAGGTGTTTTTTAAAAACTTAATTTAATAGTCACAGGATTATATAATTTAATCAATTAACTACATTAAAGATGGCCGAGCATGAACCGGTGACAAAAATATGTTCAATGACAGTTAAGACCAATCCATTTGGCTTCACTGTGCCCCATGGGTGATCATTCCACAATGTAAATCAAATCATCACGCTGTGCACCTTAAAGATTTCCAACTTTGTCAATCTTTCCTCATTGAATTTGGAAAAAGTATATTATTCCCCAATCCTCATGCCAGTGAGCACCTGCGGTTACAGTCAGTTAGTTATCATTTTGAGTGTGTACACAGACATACTGATTTTCTCATCAGTAATTAACAAACAGGTTAATAATTTAATAAGATAAAGGGGACAGAGCTCCTGACCAGTGATGAGTATATGTTGAAACCTCATCCTTCATCAAGTTCTACTCATGTTATGTCCTCCTTATGAAAAAAAATTGCTCTTATCAGTTGGATTGAAGGGAGTTAAATAGACAGAGATATACAATACCATTTCTGTTCTGGGTTTCTGGGAAGTTAAATAGTTTTGATTTTGTTTAAAAATTAATAGTCTCCAAATACCTAAATGACTAAGAAAATAAAATGAGACAAGTATGTATTTATGGCAAGAATGTCTTAATATTGTATTATCTGTATTGCTTATACTCAGAGCGAATGCACCTAGCTGATGTAGTACTTCTGCCATGGCCAAGAACTCTGTGGGGAGCGTGGAGACCACTGTGAGTAATAGCGAACTCTGTTGTGTTGGTTTGGGTGACTTGTTTAAGAACATTAACTTATTGTTCATAAAATGTGTTAAGTATAATGAAAGAAGTTAACCATGGCCCACTATGGGGTTCATGTGGAACATATGTTCCTTAATAGATTTGTGCAACACTAACATTGATTAATGATAGTTTTGAGGGAAATTATTCTGTAGACAGATGTTAGGGAGACTTAAGAGCATTGTTCTTGAATTATTGTGATCATGTACATTTATTTTGTTATTAGTCAAATGAAAGTTAGTAAATCAAGAAACATGGATGAGGGAAAAGGGCAAATCTTGGACTAATGATGGACACCTGGTAGGGTGTGTCGTGGGCAATGAATAGGATGTGTCTGCAATTGTCAGGGCCAATGCAGAAGAGATTTAGTCTATGTCTCTGTTGGCACTGATCCTCTAGAAAGGTTAAGATTAAGAATACACAAAGATCTTGTTTTTGGACTTCTGTGCCTCATTAATTTTTACTGTATTATGAAAAAATCAATAAGTAATCTATACAATTACATAAATGAATAAAGACGAAGACTGTGAAGCATTGTCTAATTATAAAAATATGACATGAGACAAGAAATGCCATTAATATAATGGCCCTTAGGAAACCAGTGGATTAAGGGTGTTACCTCTTTCGCTAACAGGAACAGTAGGTGTTACTGCTTCAAATCAGTGGTGAATTCTATGTTGTTCATTCTTTTAGAAGAGACAGTTAATTATTAAAATCAACTAGTAAATATTTAAATGACTAAGAATAGGACAGGTGGGAAGCAATGATCAATGCAGAGAATGTCTTCACCTGTTTTTCATCTGCTCTGTTTTGTATTCCTCAGGGTAGATGCTCGCTGCTGGTAAGGTTCTGCTCTGATCCCCGTGATCAAAAACATTATGGTTGCCTCTGTGTGGGGACCACTGTGAGTGATAGTCACATTCCTTGATGAGGTTGGTGGTTTGCCCAACGGTATTTATTGTATAAAAACCTGTGAAATATAATCACAGAAGTCCAACCATAGCCTACTTATGAAGCTGGTGTTGATAGAAAGCATGATTTGATGAATTGATACATGAATCATTGAGGCCAAATACAGAAAGAGATCTAATCTCTGTAGGAAATAATTCTATAGGCAGAGGTTAGGGAGTTTCAAGAAACTTGGGTTTTTACCATTGATTAATTTACTTTGTGATTATTAGTGAATTATTGAATTAATCTCAAAAAGGTGAAGAATAAAAGGGCAAAACTGGGACTAATGTTGATGAGTGGTGCTTATGAGCACGTACAATGAATATTATGTGTCTGGAACCCTGAGGTGGTGCAGCACAAAAGGAATCTAGTCCACTCCAGTTGTTTGAAGGGAACCTATAGACACATGTCAGGAATATATAAGATCATTTTCTTGGGCTTGTGGCCATGTATTTTTAACAATATAAAGTGCAGAATAAATGAACAAATAAACAAATGGAAAAAGATGAAGAGGACGAAGCATTATTTATTATTAAAATATCTAATAAATATAAATGATATTAATATAAGTTGGAATGAATAGTAAATACACCAGGTGTATTACATTTCGACGAAGTATGATATATACTATAGATAGTGTTAAGTAATAGTTAAAATTTTGACAATTAATTTGTTAAGAGAAGGATAAGTATATATTACTATTTGAAATAATTACCCAAATAACTGTGTATGTGAATGGTGGAAACCATGGATCAATAGAGAAAAATGTCTCAATCTTTTTATCACCTTCTGCTTGGTACTTTTCAGAATCGATGGAGCTGATTTCAGCTTCTGCTGTGATCAAGATTGTCATGTTGCCTCTGTGTCAAGAAAGAGACTAAGGTGAGTAATGAATAGTCCCAGATGCTATCTTGGTTCAGGTCACTAGATTAAGAGTGTGCACAGTGTCATTAAAATTATTAAGTTAATTAAAAACTTAATTATTGTCCAAACAATCAACATGATATGGAACATGTTGGTTAATCCATAATGTAACATTGAGGTTGATTAATAGAAGAGATGTAATCTATATGGGAAGTGATTGTTTAGGCTGATGGTGGGGACATTCAAGGACCTTGCTCTTTGGTTCTTTTTTTGTGTGAATAATGTACTTACTTTGTTATCATTGAGTAATTAAAGGTTTAGTGATACCAATATAGACTTGAATGATCAAAAAAAGAGAAACCCAAACATGGACCAGTTTAGGTGAGTCATGGATGATGAAAAGAAGTGTTTGAAACTCTGAGGTACAGCACAATACATAATTAGTCTCATTCCTCTTTGGAAATGATGCTATAGACAGATGTCAGAAATACACAAAGGTCATGTTCTTATTTTGAATTTGTAGATTTAGATTTATTATTATTAATGAATCATTGATAAACTCATCAAATAAAAATAATACTTAGATAAAGGAGAAAGTGAGGCATTGTCCAATTATGATCATGTTGTGATATAAGACATACTACATAAAAATAAAAAAAAAATCGATGCCCATTTAGATATAAATTGATCAAAGGTTTTACTTCTTTGGCCAAGGATTATGTAGATGAGGATAATTAAGTCAATTTTATGCTTCTGGATCAGTTTCAAGTTTGAGGTTGGTCCCTTTGTCAATAGGTAAGAATACACAAATACCTACCCAACTTAGTAAATGAAAGGTGGGAAGGAAGTTCCCATGTAGATGAATTATTTTTTTTTATTGACTGCGCTGCTCTGTGCTCCTCAGAATGGACCCACTCGAGATGATGTCAGTGTCTTCCCTGGCCTCCCGCCCGCTGTTCGCCTCTGTATGTCAGGAGCATGCACACCATTGTGAGTGATCGTCAAAGTTCTTGTGTTAGTTTGGGTGAGAGTGTGAATTAATGAATTAATAAACAAGTTGGAAATGAGCAAAGGGAATGTGTGCTAGTCCTGGACCCGTGATGAGAACCAGTGGCATTTGAGGAGAGGATGATAAATTTCAATGTGTCTGAAACTCTGAGGTCCAGCGCGGAGCAACCAGTCAGTGCCTTCTCTTCGTTTGAAAGGATCCCATAGACAGAACTTAGGAATATGCAAGGATGGTTTTGGTCTTAGGGTTTATTTTACTCTATTATTATAATTGGATAAATGTAATAATCAATAAAAAATATATAAATAAAGATGAATGAAGTATTGTCCAATTATAAAAATACATTGTGAGGCAAAGAGTACTATTAATAAATTTGGACTGTTAAGTGCTAGTCAATGTTCATTTCCTACGTGAGGGACAAGTTCTAAGTTGTTTATTTCCTTAGTATAAATTGAAATAAATGTACTCTAGATTAATGAGTGACTAAATCACTCAATTTTTTATCATTGGTTGTGTTCTGTACTCCTCAGAAAGGACACATTTGGGCTGATTGCAGCATCTTCCATGGTCAGAGCTCCGTGGTTGCATCGGTGTGTGAGGAGCATGGAGAGTCACGTGAGTAATGGTCAGTGTTCTTGTATTGGGTTGGGTATTTTAAAAATATTATTTTTTATTATTAAAAGTATTAAATATAATCAAAGAAGCCCAATCATGTCAATATCACATGTTATTTATATGAAACCATATGATGATGAATTTACATATGAAACACTGAGTTCAGTTAATGAAAGAGTTTGGTTTCAGTGGAAATGATTCAATAGATGGATGGTGGAGGGGGGCAATGGGGACAAAACGGGGGACATCTGTAGTTCTCTCAACAATAAAAATAAATAAAAAATGGATGTCAGAGATATTCCAGGATATTATTTGTGATTTTTCTTCATTTATGTTTATTTTTATATTAGTGAATTTAACCTATAAAAAACATAGATGACAGTAGGTAAAAAGAGCAAATCCAATGATGATGACTCCTGGCATTTAAGTCATATGCCACGAATACCACTGGAACTCTGAGGTCCAATAAAAAAGAATCCATTTCATGTGGCTGAAATACCAGGATATACAGGGTCCTATTTTATTTTTCACTCATTTGTATTCTATAAATATAATTGAATCAGTGACTATACCAATAAATATATTACAAATAAATGATGGGGTAAAACATTTTCCAATTATACAAATATGTGGTCTGATAAGAAATACTATTCATATATATTGTGAACACTGAAGATCAATGAAAATAAACAGTATGAGGACGCTGTTTGTTTTTGCTAAATTTGATATAGATAGTAATGAGCAACAACCAGTGCTCATGGTCTGTCAGTGTCCATATTGGTATTGTTTACTCACTTAAGAGAAAGTAAAATAGACATAATCACAAATTACCGATTATGTACATGGCTGACTAAATAATGGTGGAATTGGGACCAATGGAGGTAATGTCTCGATTGCTTCTTTGGTTCTGCTGTGCATTGTATTCCATAGAATGGATGCACTGCATCTGATGTCAACATCTTCCCTGGGAAAGAGCTCTGGGACTGCGTCTGTATTAGGGGCATGGAGGCCACTGTGAGTAATAGCCAATGTTCTTTTTGCTTTAACTGTGTTTTATTTTTTAAGATTTTCCCTGTATTATTAAAAAGTGTTACTATCTATATAATAAAAGCCTAAGTGACCTTTACAGCGGAAGGACCAGAACCACGGGTCGCTGTGATGCGCACTGACCACCATGGGGCAGACACTCAGCCCAGGAGCTGCCCCCTGGTGGTCAGTAGGCTCCCACAGCCGGGCTCAAGGCTGGCGAGTGCAGTGGCCATGGCAGGAGCCTCTCCCACCTCCACGGCTGCATGAAGGAGCAGCTAGACGAGTGGTAAGGAGTAGTGAGCAGGGGAGTGGTAAGGAATGAGGGGGTCCCGGACTGTGAGAGGGATGTCTATCAGCTCCCCACAAGAGGTCCATGACATCCCCCAAGGGGTTCTGGAATGCAAGAGGGTTCAGGGACCACATCGGTGTACGATCCGGGCCGGGGAGGGATCACGGGAGGTGTGCACACATTTCAGGCACTGTGCCTCTGTTAATCAAAGAAGATTAGAGATGTCACTGTTAAATATCATATTACCGTGAAACATTGTGTTGATTAATCCATATATGAAACACTGAGCTCAGTTAATGATAAGAGTCTGGTCTTAGTGGAAGTGATTGTAAAACTGGATGTTAGCGATGCCTAAAAATCTCACTCTTGTTTTTTTTTTGTTTTGTTTTTTTGAGATTTATGTAGATGACAATACAGAATGAAGGCCACCCCTGGACCAACAATGATCACTGGTGCATTGTGGGGCATATGAGCTCAATAGGTATCTGGAAGTCTGACATCCAACACAAATGGAGTCCGGCACGTTGTCCTTTTATGACAGGAACCTGTGGACAGATGTCAGGAATATAAAAGGATCTCGTTCTTGGTCTTTGAGTTCATGAATTTTAAAAATATTATTATTAAAGATTTAATGGCAGCATAAATAGACAAATGTATAAATGAATAAAGATGAGGAGCATGAAGCTTTGTTCATGAATAAAATATGTAATAATGAAAAAATGAATATCAATATAAATGGGAAAGGTTAAAAAAGGGCCAAGGGTATTATGTATTTGACGAAGGATGGCATCCACGCTGACAGGTAACAATTATTGCCCTCAGTCAGGTATTAGTTTGAAGTTCATTTTATTAAGAGAAAAATAAATAAATATCACCATTAATTAATAAACCCTCAAATGACTGTAAATGAATAGTGAAAAATATGGTACAGTGGAGAAAATGTCTTGATCTTCTTTTTGGGTAAACATGTAGTTGAATTTTAAAAATATATTCTGATTATTTATGACATATCTGGCTAATGTATTGTTTTACATTTTTGTAATGACCAATATATTTGTATGTACTATTTATGTATTTCTAAGTTGACATTTGTGCTTCTTTATTGTTTTTTTCTGTTTGTTACACTCCCTTCTTGGTTTATATTTGATTAGTTATGTTTGTCTCCTAATTTAACTATTTTCTATACTAATCTGATATACATTCATTCTAATTATATTTCTATAGGTAGTATCTTTACATTTTAATGAGTATATTTACATTAAATTATAAAAATGATATCTTTCATTCTTTTGTCTGCTTGTACTTTTCAGAATGAATGCACCAAACTGATTTCAGCATCTGCTCTGATTGAGATGATGGTAGAAAAGAGACCAAGGTGAAAAGTAGGTGAAGATTTTACCTTGTTTGGATGATTTTTAAAAAAAGTATTCATAGTATTATTATAAAGTAATAAATATAATAAAAAACGTAAGTGTGAATCAAGTACAAATATGTTATAAAACATGTTGATTCATTGATAATGTGCAACATTAAAGTCAATTAATGTAGAAGATATAACCTATGTATGTAGTACCGAGCTAGGTTTAATCAGGATCTTTTTCTTGTGATTTTATGAATCATGTATTTATTTTATTAGCATTGAATTAGTGCTTTAATAATCACATGTAGAGAAACCAATGAAGGAAAAGAGACCCAGAAATGGATCAATGATGATGACTGGTCACATAGGTCATAAATGGTGAGTGTGAGGTGTCTAACTTTTGTGTTCACAAGAAATAGAATCTGGTTTATCTTCTCTTGTAAATGACCCCATGGGTTGATGTTAGGAATATACAAAAATTATATTCTCATTTTGAGTTCATAGATTTAGATTTATTATTATTAATGAATCAATAGTCAAACCATTAAGAATGTAATGAACAACTAAAGAGAAAAGAGTGAGACACTGTCCAGCTAGGAACATATGTCATGAGGCAATAAAATTAAAATCATACTCATGAAGCCATAAGTGGAAGTAGCATATGCCTTTTTGCCTAAGAACCATATAGACAGTGATGAGTAAGAGTCCATATTATTTTGCTCTTGATCAGTCTCAATTTTAAAATTATCTTCTGTTCAGAGAAAATATGCCGCAATATGAAAAATTAATCACTGTCTAAATGAATAAATAAAATGTAGAAAACAAGGATCAGTGGAGGTAAAGTTTGAAAACTTTTTATCTTCTGCTCTGCTCTGTCCTCCATAGAGTGGACACACTCGAGCTGATTAAGGAGTCTTCCATGGTCACACCAGCTGGGCAAGGGTCAGTATATTTATATATTGCCTAATGATGTTCACAATGACGTTTAGTTTAACATCGGTTACCATATATAGTTATAAAATATGTTTTTTGGTGAAGAAAACTTTTAAGATTTATTATCTTACCAACTTTCCTTTGTTAAGATAAAAATTATACATTAAAAACATAAATACCTTAATACTGAGTCAATGAAACTCAGAAAGCAAGGCTTGGCCTCGGTTTCCCTTTACCGTCTTCCCTTCTCTGTCCTCTTCAGAACGCAGACACTCTAGGTGACGCATGCACCTTTCTCAGTCACAGACCCGTTGGTTCCCACTTCATAGTAGGAGCTGGAGGATTAATGTGAGTTAGGGTTGAAATTATTTTCTTGGTTTCAGTGTGGTTGTTGTTGCTTTAAGTTTATTCCCTGTATTATTAAGAAGTGTGAAGTATCAGTAAATAAGGCAACTGTATCTGTTAAATATGGACTATAAGAAAAATTATATCCAGTAATGCATCATGGGAACAGGTGATAATAAAGAGATGTATTGCTGTGAGAGTAAATGTATATTAAGTTTAAAGATATGAGGGCTCATCTTGTTTTTTGTGAATCATAGGCTTTCAGAATTATTGTTATTGGACTAATATTTAATCAATATACAAATAGAATATAATGAGGAAATGAGAGAGAATAGTGGATTAATAATGGCTGCTGGTGGCCTAGGAGTTACATGGGGCAAATACATGTCTGGAACTCTGAGTTCTCATGTAAAATTACTCTTGTCCATTCTCATCTCCCAGGAATCTTATAGACGGTTGACAGGAAGATCCTAAGATCTTGTTTCTGGTCTTAGTGTTCATGTATTCTCATCTATTAGTATAATTGAATAAATTATAGAATCTATAAATAAACATAAATAAAAACAGATCAATGAAGTATTGTCCAATTATAAAAATTATGTGAGGAGGCAAGAAATAGTATTAATATATTATGCAAATTAGAAACAGATGACACATTACTGTTACCTGCATAGTTAAAGGATAAATCATAGAAAATGCTCAGAGTCTGGGTTAGTGGTCCAATTAAAATTTGCTTTCTTAGGAGAAAAAGTATACACTGAATCAATGTTTGCCCAAATGACTGACCATGTGAGAGGTGAAAAGCAAATTTCAATGGACAGAAGGTCTCAACCATTTATATCATCTGCTCTGCTTCATACTCCTCAGGACAAGCACAGTCGACCTGCTGTAAGGTTCTTCCTTGACCATGAGCCATAGAATTGCACCTCTGCTTTAGGAGCCTGGAGACCAATGTGAGTCATAATGAAAGTTCTTATTTTGGTTTGGGGGGTCTGTATTAATAAAAGTATGACATACACAAGATGGTCAATTGCATCCTTGTGGCCAATATGGGATTAATAGGCAGCATTATATTGAATAATTCATATATGAAAAATGTTAATAAATATGACAGATGTGATGATGGTTTCAGGCACCATTAGGGCTATCAAAGACCCTTTTGAGTTCTTGTGAATAATAGAGCTTTAATTTTTTATTTAGGGAATTAATGAATTAATCAATAAACTATATAGAAAGGAATAAAGAGAAAGCGTCCTTTTTTGGATCAATGATGCTAACTGCCAGAGTATGAGTCACGGATGATGAATAATATGTCTCCAACTCTGAGATCCAACACCGAAGGAATGGGTTCTTTCTCTGTCTGCATTTTCATTCTTAATTATAATTGGACCAATGATTTATCAATGATCATATATATATGGTAGTTGCATTGTCCAGTTTAAAACATGTGGGTAGGCAATAAATTCTATTAACATAATTGAAAACAGTGAAAGTCCAAAGAGAAACAAATGGTCCATGACTCTGAAACCTCTTTGGCTTGGGATGCTATAGAGCAGTGATGGCGAACCTTTTGAGCTCGGCGTGTCAGCATTTTGAAAAACCCTAACTTAACTCTGGTGCCGTGTCACATATAGAAATTTTTTGATATTTGCAACCATAGTAAAACAAAGACTTATATTTTTGATATTTATTTTATATATTTAAATGCCATTTAACAAAGAAAAATCAACCAAAAAAAATGAGTTCGCGTGTCACCTCTGACAAGCGTGTCATAGGTTCGCCATCACTGCCTTAGACAGTGGTTCTCAACCTTCTGGCCCTTTAAATACAGTTCCTCA